GGGGTGGGGCGGTTGGGGGGGGGGAGAGGGTCTGAGTTAGGCTCTGGCTGAGGGTGGGGGTGGTAATTCGAGAGAGATTCCACGTCCTTAAGTCTGAGCTCGTTTAGGTGCTCCAGTGCCGGAGGTTGGTGAGGTTCACGGGGTCCTGTCCTCTCCTCTCCTCTCGGTATCCGCCTGGTCGTGGGTGGTATCCGGGGAGCCGAGTAGCAGCAGTTTATCCGGTGGATGGACACAGGTAATGTGTAGCAAGTCTCTGTGAGAATACCAGGAAGGTATTAATGCGGCCAAGGCAAGCTCGCTTCCACCAATCCGTCAATGTGCTAAGGTTGTGAGATCCACTGCCAAGACTCACCACGATTTTTAAAAAAAAGTCAGCGTGCAACTTAACTGTTTAGGGAGAGGTGGTAGCAGCCCAGTGCTAGTCTCTGTGGGTGTGTTTGGCCAAGTTAATGTGAACACCAAGTGTTTACAAGTCCCGCCAGTGCACTACCGGCTGTTAAAGGGGTAACCGTATGGAACCTGGTCTGCGTATTTAATACTCCAACTGGGTAAAACAGACACAGGGTGAAGGAAGGTAGATGTGAAGGTAAATTTGAATTATTTGCTTCTCTTAAGTAAACTGACATGCAGTGGTTAACCCCTCCCACACTCTGAAGTGCGGTACCTCTATGTGTCCTGACTAACCTAGCTAAGTGAAGTTTTGCGTTTATGTGGCGCCTTTGCTCGTCCCAGGTGCCAGGGAAGTACATTTGGGATGTACTTTAATTTAAAAAATATACTTTATTTATAAAAATATCTTTATATACATACATAGTCACTAAAGCAGTTCAGTTCTGTATAGTAGCATGTATTTTGACTCTGTCCAAGAAACTAACCCAAGGCATTTCTTACTTGTGCAGGATTGTGTTTACTTTTATTTGAGGTACCAGGAGAGTCTGATAACAGAACGGACCCCCATTTACCTCCAGCAGAAAGACCGCAGACGGTGGTCTTTCCCCATTCCCCTTGGCGGCAGCTGCCCTACGCTTTAGTGCATCCCTCAGCACGTAGTCCTGGACCTTGGGATGTGCCAGTCTGCAACACTTGGTTGAGGTCAAGTCCTTAGTCAGGAAGACCAACAAGTTTTGGGCAGACCAAAGAGCATCTTTCACTGAGTTGATAGTCCTCCAGAAGCAGGCGATGTTTGTGTCAGTGCGTGTCATGGGGAACAGACCATAGAGCACAGAGTTCCATGTCACAGAAAAACCACTACATCTTTCTCCAGACTTCCTTGGCAAAGGCACAGCCACTGTTCTAATACGGGAAGTTCAGTCACCAGCTCTGCCCTCAGCAATGTCCAACAGCTATAGGCCCAATGTTCAGATAAGCTGCTTATAGTGATGCTGACTGAGAGGTCCAGTTCCTCACTCAGTACTGCTATGATACACTCAACATCACAGAAACACACAACTGTTATGGTGCAGAAAGAGGCCATTCAGCCCATCGTGCCTGCACTGGTTCTATTCCCTAACACCAATCTCCTGCCTTTTTCCCGTACCCCTGTGCACCATTTATATCCAAATAATTCAATGCCCTTCTGAATGCCTCACTTGAACCTGCCTCCACCATATTTATAGGCAATGCATTCCAGTTCCTACTCAGTTCCTCACTGAGTTTTTCTTCACACCACGTTTGCTTCATTTGCACCCACAAGAGAGACCAAAAAGTGCCCCCATTCATCATCGCTTATGAAAGCCAGTACCTCTGACAGTGCTGCAATCCATCCATGTCCCAAGATTTTTGACCAGCAAAAGAAACTCTTGCATTTGTACAGCACATGTTTACTACCATCTTTGCTACGTCATGTCAGAGATATGAGTCATAGCAGCCACCTGTAAAAGCAATGCGATTCTCTCTGCTGTGTGCAGAGAGAAATGGAGTTCACAGCCCAGATATTCCAATGACCGAAGTGTTGATGGAGGAGTGTGTCAGGACCCTGCAGTACCCAAGATGTAGCAGACTCCATGGGAAGTGGAACTTCCAACAAGCCATTCCCCTGCACCTGGAAGCCTCTGGAAAAAGCCCCTTGAAGTCAGAAACCTCAGAGGGTTCCACCTCCATTAAGTTGAGCCACCCAGAAAATGTGAGAAGATTAAAAACCTACTGTTAGCCCAGTCTGAAAAAAAGTCATATCAGACCCAATGTTAAATTTCTCTCCTCACAGATGCTGCTTGACATGCAGAACTTCTCCAGCATTTACTCTTTTTAGTTTATGGGGGCAGCACGGTGGCTCAGTGGTTAGCATTTTTGTCTCACAGCACCAGGGACCCAGGTTTAATTCCATCCTCTGACGACTGTCTGTGTGGAGTTTTCACATTCTCGCCGTGTCTGCGTAAGTTTCCTCCGAGTGCTCTGGTTTCCTTCCACAGTCCTGGCCATGCTAAATTGTCCATAGTGTCCAGGGATGTACAGGCTAGGGGGATTAGCCATGGAGAATGCAGGGTTACGGGGATAGTGTGGGTGTGGATGGGTTACTGTTCAGAGAGTCAGTGTGGACTTGATGGGCTGAATGGCCTGCTTCCACACTGTAGGGATTCTATAATTTCAGTTTCCCAGCATCTCTGTGGTATTTTGCTTTTATCATCAAAACAGGAGGCCTCTGTCCAGGAATCTCCCAGGCAGTAGCCGTCTTAAGGCAAATTGGATAATTTCTAATCCAATTCCAGTTTGGAAATAGGGTTTCCAATCCTAACCAGAATGTCTGGGCCAATGTTTCAGACCAATGACCTTTCAGCAGAACCTTTTGCATTTGTATAATCTCTGCTGCTCCTCTTTAAAATGGGTGCCATGGGATCATAAAACCCATCCTGGGTCTTCAACTTAACAACTACAGCTGGCAGCACTCCGTCTGTACAACACTTGATTATCACTGTTGATGTTTGTGCTCCTGTCCCTGGCGTTGGACTTGAACCCAGAACCTATTACCTCAGATGTGAAAGGGCTGCCCACTGAACCATGGTAACATACCGTTCCCTCTCCATCTATTATGATTACACCAGATAAGTCCTCAGAATAGTCTGTGAAATAAGTATCCTAGGGTGGCATAGGGGTTAGCACCACTGCCCCACAGCGCCAGGGACCTGGGTTTGATTCCAGCCTCTGGTGACTGTCTGTGTGGAGTTTGCACATTCTCCCTGTCCCTGTGTGGGTTTCCTCCGGGGGCTACAGATTCCCCCCACAGCCCAAAGAAGTGCAGGTTATTGTGAATTGGCCATGCTAAGTTGCTCAAATTGCACAGGCTGGGTGGGATGCTGTTCAGAAGGTTGGTATGGGCTGAATGGCCTGCTTCTGCACAATATGGATTCTATGATATAACTCAATTATGGCCATTTGTCTCTCCTTGTTAAGAATCCTGTCTCTTGAGTTCTTGCTGCTGTTTTTAAAAATGGCGTCTCTTGGAGTCTTATGCAGTTCAGAACCAAAGATAGCTGCTAAGATAAGTTTTGGTGAATCATTGTTCCACTAGGAAAGCCAATTATTCTGGAATTCTCTGTGTATGGGGGATGATTCTCCAGTCTCCTGTTTTCCTCAGAAGCTTTGATTTCTCGGACTTTTAGAAGCACCTGTGAGGTTATCCGAGGGTTAATCAAATCTTCCATTGTGGCTGATACTGACATAACATATCAGTCTATGTGCTTTTGTAGCTGAAATGGATCGACGGGGAGAGCCATGTGACTCCTAGGAGACATCCTGCGGGATCATGTGTCCATTTTGAGTGAGGTAAGCCTTCTTTACAAATGCATCATGCATTACAATTACACAGACTAAACAAACTTGACAAAGTTACAGATAGAAATAAGCAGAGACTCCTGAAGAGTTTCAGGGTCAGAGTCTCCAAGTATCAGTGTATGTCATTTCTCCTTTCCAACCTTCAGAAATTCACTTTATTTTAAAATACAAGAATAAACATAATTCCATCCGAAAATCAGTCCATATTATTTATCTTGTGTAGCTATCCTTCATGCAGCTTGCTGGAGAAATAAGCCTGCCCAAATTTTGTTTCCATCATGAGTTCTTTTTGCTGTAAAATATTGTTTTTTGCTGCGAGCCCTGGCTCATTAACTGACACGCTGCATTGTCAATATTGACTCCATAATTCAGCATCTTTGATATTGTGAAAACACCCAACACATTTCCGAGTTTGGCTTCAGACCTGACCAGCAGCAGCAAGTTATATTTTAGTGAAACTTTTGAAGGATGATGAGTAACTGTTTTAGCGATGCTGTTTTGTCAAATGAAAGTTTTATGTCTTATGATAATGGATGAGGTATACTGATATTGTCCAGTAGTGAATGTGGCCTGCAGTCCTATATCATAGCAAATGAGGACTCAGTGGTACTTCAAGTTATAATATTACATGGTGTTTACAATATAGAAATAGAGCTGTCAAGCTAACAGGTCAATATTGATATTTATGTTCCACACAAGCCAACTGTTATTCTTTCTTCATCTAACTCCATCACTATCCTTTTTTCCTACGTGTTTGCTGATCTATCTTCTTGTGTTTTGTCTCAATTACTCCAAGTGATAGTAAGTTCTGCATTGCGACCACTCTCTGGCAACATTCCCTATTAGATGTTTTAATGAGCCATTTTATATTTCTAGGCCATAATTCTAGTCGTTGTGGTGCATTTTGCTGGAGAAAGAAGCCTGTGTATATTTTGTTTCTGTCAAGTGTTCTTGTTGCTGTAAAATAGTGGTTTTTGCTGGGTGTTAAAAGAAAGGGAGGCGATTGCCTGGTGGTATCATCAATAGACCATTAATCCAGACACCTAGGTAATATTCTGGGGAATCTGGGGATTCGAATCCCACCACGACAGATGGTGGAATTTGAATTCAATAAAGATCTGGAGTTAAGAGTCTAATGATGACCAAGAATTGATTGTTGGGTAAACCCCTTCTGGTTCACTAATGTCCTTTAGGGAAGGAAACTGCCATCCTTACCTGGTCTAGGCTACATGTGACTCCTGCAATGTGGTTGACTCTTAACTGCCCCCTGGACAATAAATACTGGCCCAGCCAGCGATTACCTCATCCTGTGAAGGAATATATTAAAAAGTTGAAAGTGGAAATCTATGTCCACCCACACGAAGAGCCCATATCAGCTCATTCCTCAATCTTCTCTTTTTCCAGAGAAAATGCTAAAATTTATTTTAATCTTTCTTGATAAACAGAACCTTTGAGTTCTGTAACTGTTCTAATTTTATTTGTGCTCCTTGTTCAGTACCTTGTAGAACATAAAGTCCAGAAATGCACACTTACACCAAGTGTGGTCCAATCAAGTTTCTTCACTATTTAACAAAACTTTGGTTTTTAATTCTACCTTTTGAGAAAAGAGCCTCAACGTTATATTTAATATCTGTAATGGCCTTATTTACACGCAGCACTATGTTTAGATATCTTTCTATCACTGACCACCCTGTCCCTCTATTCCAACCAGGTACATCATTTTGAAGGGGTATGTGTCCTCTTTATTCTTCTTACAGGTATATTTACCACTTTTTCTCCCACTTCTGTTCCTGCTTATTTGTGTCAGCATCACAGACTGGATTCTGTATTCTGCCAACATGATATGGTTACTAAAAACCAAAAGAACTGCGGATTGCTGTAAGTCAGGAACAAAAACAAAGTTGCTGGAAAAGCTCAGCAGATCTGGCAGCATCTGTGAAGGAGAAAACAGAGTTAACGTTTTGGATCTGGTGACCCTTCCTCAGTTAGTTGAGCAGGCACAAACCTGACAATGAAGCCTTTAAACAGAAATAATCTGGAGGTGGGCCTTAAGCACGGCCAGTTATTAGTATTTCCTTTCCACTGGGGAAATTGGCCTTGAGAAGAAGATTGTTGACTCACTATCTTAGAAGCAATTTCTCTTTGCAGTTTGCCTGGATGGCTGCCTCACATTTTGTTTTTTGCTGGAAGGCATCAGGTTTTTCTTTCTGTTAGTTGTCACCGGTCTATTCTCTATTTTACAGAACATCACCAATCTAATTTTCTCTCTCCTTTGCTGTAATCATTCCCATTTCAAATTTAGTCAAGATTGTGGTGTAGGTCCCACATCGGTTCATGTAGCTTTCTTTGGTTCATTGAGGGTTTATTTACATCTCTCACTCCCACAGACAACTCACCTTCTCCTGGATGGGATGAACCTATGTTTGGTAAGCTATAACTCTGATATTTTTGTTGCAATACTGAATCCGTATTGAAGCTTATTTTCCAATAACACACACTTCCAAAAATCAGTTCATGTTTTGCAGTATATTCTTACAATACACTTCTACTTTAACCAGCAGTCCCAAAGTTTGGTATTTTTCAGATTCCCATGTCTAAACCATTTAAATCAGAGAACAACTGCAGTCTCAGCACCAATCCTTGTGGAACACAACTTCCCATCGTTATCCATTCCCAATAGAAACCTTTAACCTGTACTCTTTGTTTCTGTCCTAGAAAATTTAAAAAAGGAGCAGGAGTAGGCCATTTGGCCCTTTGAGCCTGTGCTACTATTCAATATGATCATGGTTGATCGTCCAACTCAATAGCTTATTCCTGCTTTCTCCCCATATCTTTTGATCCCTTTAGCCCCAACTCTTCCTTGAAATCATACAATGTTTTGGCCCGACTGTTTTCTGTGGTAGCAAATTGCACAGACTCACCACTCTTTGGGTGAAGAAATTTTTCCTCATCCCACTCCTAAAATGTTTTCCCTATATCCTTAGACTGTGACCCTTGGTTTTAGACTCCCCTCACCATTGGGAACTTCCTTCCCAATCTAGTCCTGTTAGAACAATGAAGGTTTCTATGAGATCGCCGTCATTCTGCTGAACTCCAAAGGATATAATCCTAACCAATTCAATCTCTTCTCATTCCAGGAATTGGTCTGTTAAGTTTTTGCTGCAGCCCCTCTATAACCAGAATATCCTTCCTCAGATAAAGAGATTAAAACTACACACAATATTCCAAGTGGTCTCATCAATGCGCTGTACAACTGCAGCTAAACATTCCTGGTCATGTACTCACATAATCTCACTATGAAAGCCATCATACCATTTGCCTTCTTCACCGCCTGCAGCACCTATGAGTTTACCTTCAGTGAATGGTGTACAAGGACACCCAGGTCTTGTTGCACATTCCCTTCTCTCAATTTATCTCCATTCAGGTAATAATTTGCCTTCCTGTTTTTACTAACAAAGTGGACAAACTCAAATTTATCCACATTATCCTGCATCCGCCATGCATTTGCTAACTCACTCAACTTGTCCAAATCACATGGAAGCAATTTGCCTTCCCATTCAGCCTTACGTTGTCTGCAATATTGGAGATATTACATTTAGTTTCCTAATCTGAGACATTAATATAAAATTGTGAATAGCAATTTTGACCTATCGATAGTCCCTGCAATACCTGACCATCACTGTCTGCCATTCAGGAAAAAAAATTATTGTGACCCTGTTTCTTGTCAGCTAACCAGTTCTCTATCCGTATCAGTTCATGACCCCCAATCCTATGCATAAAGACAGTGCACCCCCAACTTCTCAAGGGCCAATTAAGGATGGGCAATAAATGCTGGCTCAACCAGCAATACCCACATTCTGTAAACAAATTAAATAGAAAATCCTCCTGGACTGCACTGATCACCATTTTAAACACCTTACTATTTAGTTATTTATCATGAAATTGTTTTTGTTCGCTTGTTTCTGTTTCAGTTGCATCCCTTAAAATCTACTTCTTTCCGATTTGCTCTTCTGTTTATAAAATTCTTTCCCAATGTTGTTTAGCTGTGGATATAGCTTAGATATCCTCATATGATTACTTCACTTATCTGTTCCCCCCCTTAATAGACACTGCAGTGTTCCCTCTCTTATTGGGCTTTTTATGAAATGGGTGAGAAAAGAGTCTAGGAGACTTTGTTAAAATTCTCTTCCTTGTACTAATATGTTGCTTTATCAGTTTTGTTGGTTTATTCAATCACTAAGGAATCCAATGGATGTGTATAACAATAAATACAAATATTACATTCACAGGCATATAAGTGTCTGGGCTAACATTAAGTTATTAGGTAGACAGAGCCAGCAAGTATCCAAGAGCATGTTATGCTTCAAGTGAGTGTAGGGTATGATGGAGTATAAGACTTTTATACCTCAGTTGACATCAATGGTATAGTGATGACATCATGAGTATATCTCTTCAGGGTTTCCTAACTTTGAGGAACGCCGAAATTGAAACTCTGCAACTTAAAGACAACATTGTAAGTCAACCTGGTATTTGGAAAATGAAGCACTCAATCTGGATGAGTGTGCGCTGATGCACTTGGGCAAGACAAACAAGGTAAGGGAATATGTGATAAAAGGTAGGACCCTGGGAAGCACCAAGGATCAGAGGGACATCATGTGTGTATCCACTTGTTCCTTAAGGTATCAGGACTGGGGGACAAGTTGATTAAGAAGGCATAGGTGTACTTGCCTCAGGCAGAGTTTAAGAGCAGGGAGGTTATGCTGGAACTGTATAAAATGTTGGTTAGGCCACAGCTAGAGTGTCGTGTGCGGTTCTGGAATCCACATTATAGGAGGGATGTTATAGCGCTGGAGAGAGTGCAGAGGAGATTTACCAGGATGTTGTCTGGGCTGGAGAGTTTGAGTTATGAAGAGGGATTGGACTGACTTTGGGCTGGTTTTCTTAGAGCAGAGTAGATTGAGAGGAGTCTTGATTTGAGATGTATAAAATTATGAGGGGCATAGAGAGGGTAGACAGGAAGAAACTTTTCCCCACAATGGAGGGATCAACAACCAGGCGATGTACATTTAAGATAAGGGGCAGAAGGTTTAGAGGAGATGTGAGGAAAATCTTTTGTTTTTACCCAGAGGTTAGTAGCATTCTGGAAGTCACTGCCTGTAAGGGTGGTAGAAACAGAAACCCTAATAACATTTAAGAAGCATTTATATGTGCACTTGCGATGCCAAGGCAATCAGGGCTATGGACCAAGTGATGGACAATGGAATGAGAATAATCAGATGGTTGTTTTTGACTGGTGTGGACTTGATGGGCCAAAGGGCATTTTTCTTGTGTTGTAGATCTCTATGACTGTATGACTCTCCTCTTGCTAAAGATTCCCAAAGTATAAAGAAAGAAAGAGACTTGAATTTAAATAGCAATCTTCACTGAACATATCAAAGCAGTTTTCTGTCATCAAAGTACTTTCTGAAGTGCAGCCACTGTTGTAAAATAGGAAACACTGCGGTCAATATGCACTCAGCAAATTCTCACAAACATTACTGTTTCTGTGATGCCAGTTGGAGAGAGTGCAAAGTGATCCACTGGGATGGTTCCAGGAGTGAGAAACATCAGCCATGAGGATAGATTGAAGAAATTGGGATTGTTCTCCTTGGACTGAAGAAGGCTGAGAGGAGATTAGATTGAAGTCTTTAAAATCATGAGCCAGCTGGAGAGAAAAGATAGTGTGAAGCTGTTTCTGTTTGTACAAGATACAAAAATGAGAGGGCAGAGATATAAAGTGATGTGCATATGAAGCAAGGGTGAAGTGAGAAAAAGACTTCTTCACACAGTGAGTAGTTAGGGTATGGGATGTAATGCCTGGAAATACAGTGGAGGTAGATTCAATTGAGGCATTCAACAAAGATTTGGATGGAAATCTTATGCAGGGAGCTTGGGAAATACAAGAGATTGGCACTAGATAATAGAGTTGGTGCAGAAACAATGGGCTGAATGGCTTCCTTCAGCACTGTAATAATTCTATGACTAGGAGATAAATATTAGCCAGGACACCAAAACTAACTCCTTTGCTCTTCCTCCAACTATTGCTGTGGGATGCTTTGTCTGTACCTGAGCAGCCAAAAAGAGCCTGAGCCTTACTGGTGAGATTGCACCTCTGACAGTGCAGCACTTTCTCAGCTCCAGCTTTCATTTCTTTGGCCCTGAATCTTGAGCTTTATTATTCAGAGGTAGGAGTGCTACCTGAGCCAGAGACAATGCTCCAAAACTGTACAACTACTTTGAAAATCAGGACAGGAAATAACAGGAAAAATATTTAACCAATAGGTTTGATGTGATGTACATAGACTGAATTTAATTTGATTTGACTTATTATTGTTACATGTACCTAGGTATAGTGAAAAGCTTTGTTTTGTGTGTAGTACAGGCAGATAAACCATATAAAGTGCAGTAGAGTAATAGAACAGAGCGAGGATTACAATGTCACAGCTGCAGAGAATGTGCACAAAGTGCGAGATCAACATTAAATTTACAATTTGAGGGGTCCATTCAGAAGTCTAACAATGATGGGGAAGAATCTGTACTTGAAGCTATTCGTGTGTGTATACAAACTTTTATAACTTCTGCCCTATGGAAGACGGTGGAAGAGAGTATAACCGGGATGGGAGAGGTCTTTGATTGTGTTAGTAGCTTTCCTGAGGCAGCGGGAAGTATAGATGGACTCAATGGATGGAAGGTTGGTTTGTCTGATGGACTGGGCTGCGTTCACGACTCTCTGTATGGTTTCTTGCGGTCTTGGGGAGAGCAGTTGACATACCAAGCTGTGACACATCCAGGTAAGGGATATGCTCCCTAGGGTGCATTTATAAAAATTGGTAACAGTCCTCATGGACATGCTGAATTTCCTTATCCTCCTGAGGATGTAGAGGCGTTGTTGTACTTTCTTGACCGTCGCATCAACACGGGTAGAACAGGCCCGATCGTTGGGGATCATCACTCCTAGGAGCTTGAAATTCTCGGCCATCTCCACCTCACCTCCATTGTTGCAGACAGGGGCGTGCCCTCCTCTCCTCTTCCTGAAGACAATGACCAGCTCCTTCATTTGGTTGATGTTGGAGAGATTGTTGTCTTTACACCATGCCGCTAAGCACACTATCTATTTCCTGTATTCCCCGTCATGTTGTTTGAGATCCGCCCTACAACAGTAGTGTTGTTAGCAAACTTGTAAATGGAGTTGGAGCGGAATTTGGCCACTCAGTCGTGGGTGTATAAGGAGTACAATAAGGGGCTGAATATATAGCTTTGTGGGGCACCGGTGTTGAGGATTATTGTGGAGGAGGCGTTGTCGCCTATTCTTACTCATTGCGGTCTATGAAAGTCAAGGATCCAGTTACAGAATGGGGAGAGCCGGGATATAGATTCAGAGTTTAGAGAATGAGTTTGTTTGGAATTTTGGTGTTTGTGTGGAATTATGGCATTTGGAGCATGCTTGGATTCTGTGATGACTTCAGTGCAAACTGGTCCCCTGAATTTAGGAGAGTTACTTTCATTCGTTTTTGGTCAGTTGTAGATATCATGCTAACTTGTTTAATGTGTTAGTCATGTCCTGTAGATGCCTTTTTTAGCTCACTGCTGTACTACAATGCATTCAAGTCTTTGCCATAGCAATTAGAACTTGTTTAAAGTAAATATGAGATTAGGTGAAACTCCAGGGACATGGTGTTTGGTTACAGAACTGCTGAGTGCAGCTTCTGTAACCAGATCAGTTATTACTTATCCTGATTTGTCTTTCACAATATAGGACCAGAAAATCAATGCCTGTGGAATTTGTAGGATCTCATTCCACCATTAATAAATACATTTAGCCCAATATTTGTTCCGTTGCATTTTCTCTCAGCTTCTCCCATTACTCTATCCTTGTAGTTAATGTGCCAATATACAAAGCTGACCAAGCAGAAAGGCACAAGAGGATGGTTTGGAAACAGGACATATGCAGAAGTTCTTCATTCCACTCCTGGATTAACTGATCATAATAAAAGTGAGTGGTGGAAAATAGATAAAGTGAGTTTACTTTTCCTGTTGGAGAACTGTTCATTTTTCACAATGTGCTGCCCCATTAGAGATTGAATAACAAAGTCCCACAACTGAAGACATAAGTTTATAAACCATACAGATAGTGATGGAAGTGCTTTGCTCCATTCATCCTGACTGTAGGTACTTTCTACCTGTTTGAGGTTTGCCAAATGCTTATTGATTCTCATGTCAACACATTATTCTCCTGAGTGACGTCCTTTAACACCACCATCATGTTGTGTCAAGCTTATTCATAAACCTTCTTGGTCATTGTGAATAATGATGAGTTGACAATTGCTGTCTGCACTTTAAAGAAAAAGGTTGTTGCACATTTATATGTTCATGGATGAGTTTCCATTGAGACTGAATTTCTACAGTTCAATTTTTTTAATCACTTATTCATGGGATTTGGGCATTACTTACTGGGCCAGTGTTTATTGTACATCTATAATTTCCTTTGAGAAGGTGGGAGTGAGCTGCCCTCTTGAATCTTCTACACTTCATGTGTCATAGATATACACACAGTGCTGATATAGAGCCATAGAGTTACACAGCACGGAAACAGACCCTTCGGTCCAACTTATCCATGCCGACCAAATATCCTAAATTAATCTAATCCCATTTGCCAGCATCTGGCCCATATCCCTCAAGGATGAAATTTGAGAATTTTCCCCCAGCAACAGTGAAGGAACAGTGATAATTTCCTAAATTAAGATGTTGCATGACTTGGGAGGGAACTTACATTTGGGAATTTACCTATTCCATTCAATGTTGGGATTTTACCTTTTGTCTCAGTTGCTGGTAGTTTCCACTGCAGTACATGATCACATTATCTCGATTGACATTTCAGTATAATACTTACTGTGAGTGTTTCAGTGTAACTGAGGTTCTATCCACCTTCATTGCGGATGCAAAGGAATACAGGGCATGATTCAAAGAGCATGCAGCTCTCCTTCTGTTCTGTGTAACATTCCCTCTCTACTAGAATGGGACTGCAGAGTGAAGCACAGGAGCACAGTGAAAATGATCACAACTAAGTATAATGAGGAACAAGTGTTAAATTGGCTGTTTGATGCAATGGCCTTTTTGCTTCTTTTTAAATATGTTTTTCAATCTCCAGCAGCTGATCAATGTTCAAAGGCATTCAGATAGGTGATTGATTGGTGAGATTTTACATTTTATACTTCTAAACGGAAATTACAGGCCAGTTAGTCTGACTTCAGTGGTGGGCAAATTATTGGAAAGGGCTCTGAGAGATAGGATTTATGATCACTTGGATAGGCACAGTTTGATTCGTGATAGTCAGCATGGATTTGTGAGGCGTAGATCATGTCTCACAAACCTTATTGAATTCTTTGAAGAAGTGACCAAACACGTGGATGAAGGTAGAGCAGTGGATGTGGTATACATGGATTTAAGTAAGGCATTTGATAAGGTTCCCCATGGTAGGCTCATGCAAAAAGTAAGGAAGCATGGGATAGGGGGAATTGTGGCAGATTGGATGCAGAATTGGCTGACCCTTAGAA